TTGATCGATGCATCCACGACCAGCGCGAAACCCAGCCTGCTCCTCGCGGGTCTGCTCCTCACGATTAGTGTACAATCGGCCGAGAATGACGGAGCCACAGCTTTGACGCTATCGAGATTAGGCTTATACCCCTATGATGGGCGCAGTCATTTCGTGGGCTCCTTTTGAAGATGGGGACGACAATCTACTTTCCCCACAAGGGGGAGGAGACCTGATCACTGTTCCAGACTTTAGAGAACAGAACTTGTGGTTCTCTAACAAGCTTTATTCTACCATCTTTAAATAGAGCAAAAGGAAGGCCATCGGAGCCCGGTGCTTTGTGACGTCCCAAAGCTTAGATCTCCTTATGGATTTCCGCCTCAAGAGGTGTGTTTGTTGAGACAGACCATGGGACGTGTGTCGATATCGCTGTGTGAAAAGCTGACGTTGGTGGCCAGCTAAACTGTGCCTTGAAGTGCTCCGCTCAGCTGGCAAGACTTCGCTGTTGATTGTGAATGGGTGAACCGTCAGCTTCGCAGATCACACCCAAGGCTTTCCTACCGGTGACCCGGATGAGATGGAACAGCTCATAGTAGGTGTGAACAATTGGTTCATGTAGGGGAAAACAATGTCTCTTTGTTTGTACACTATTTCTGCAATCTAAGTTTTAGGTGATGAGCGTGTGGGAACTACCACTTGGGTAAACACGAATAAGACCAACCTCGCTAACCTCGGATTTTGTATCCCGTATAAGTCAATGAGTACGCAAGTAGTGAATTAATTAGTCATTCTTTTCCCAGTATGTAACTCCAAAAATTACCGGTCCGTAAGCTGGTGAGCAAGCAATACATCAACACGCAGACAGTCAAGTACAAAAACTGGTGCAACCGGTACCAAAAGGAATAGGTCATCACGTTGAGCAGTCAACGAACCAATCAACGCGGACAGGTCAATGCTGCCTCTGATTCGGTGAGGCAGATCGACCTTGCAGCAGAGGCAGTTCGCATAAGGTGTGTGTGTGTATGGGCAGGCTGCAACGGTCGGTCGCGTTACGTGCGGAAAACATTTCACTCGACTGCAGGCCACAACATCGGGTAGCCTACTGCAATTCGGTCAGTCGTTTGTTTAACTGGATCACCATGTCATTGTCTATCCACCCGTGTTTCCAAAATTACTCATGCGAAAATACAACTGTTTCTGATTAGTGTAAACTTGGAAAAAACGATAGCTGTTATCTGTCACATTTGAGGTTGACGGGTGGAGAGGAAGAGGAAGGGGCAAGGCAAGAAGAGAGCAGCAACCACCTGAACAGACTAAAGGTACGCTCAGTGGTCCAGTCTCGTCCAGTCAATTAGAGAAACCGCTTTAGTTCGTCTTTTGCATAATATTTCTCCCACAGCATATCACTCAAACTGACATGATGCTTCGACCAAATAAGCCGGGTTTCGTCAATCTGCGACTAAGCCAACTGGGGTGCTCTCGATTGCGTTCGGCTAAGCGGCGGGTGGTACGACCAATGTAAGTGGTTCCACAGGAGCACACGAATTGGCAAATACAGAATAAGGTCATTTCCAACAGTAACTTATCTTTCATCTGCAATGAAAGAACTGGTTTGAAAGTGTAGATAATACGTTAATCAGCGGCATAGTACGTATTTATGTATGTATTTTGACAGCAGTCTGGAGATAATTATCAATCCAGATAATGTGTCACCTTTGAAAGGAATGGATAGGTAAACTGGTTTCTTTTTAGCCGTCATCTCAGATTATACTTTTTTGGTGGCCTTCATACATTGTTGAATGATCTTATCCGGATATCCATTTTTTATGAAAGTCGTTCTGATTTTTCTTAGCTCTTCCTCGCATGTATCAGGGTAGCATACTTGCCTTGTCCTGTTGAACATACATCGAATCAATGCCTTCTTTCGCTGTAGATGCACAAAACTGTGATAATTTGTATGCTGACCTGTCCAAGTCTGCTTTTGGTGAATGCTGCGTCGAAGAGACCCGTTTTGACAGCGCGTGAATAAAACAGCGAGGAACGCCAACTGTCCGGAAGATTTCATTTCTAGCGTGAATCCTATGTTCTTATGGGCTTTGTTAAATTGGTCCAACGGAACAGTCGGACTCATGGAGGATTAGACCACACAGATGTCATCTACATAGCGCCGATATAATACACATTCTTCTATATAGCCATCCAATACTTCAGTTTCCAATTTCGCCATAAACACATCTGCTAAAAGAGGACCTAAGGGAAACCCCATAGAAATTCCGTCCTTCTGGCGGTACGTCACCCCACTGAACTGGAATCGCACATTAAACGTGTAGAAGTAAATTAGGTTGCGAAGGTCTGCAATGGATAAACCAATATGAATACATCTGCGCTCAATCTGATTGCGTAGATAGTCTATGGTCTCTCCAAGAGGTACGTTAGTGAATAAACAGGCTTTCCTGAAGCCTCCAGCTATTCAACAGTATCCACAAATTCAAAGGTATCCCTCGGGCTGTAAGTTGCTAGTTCCCTTCTGACGGCTAGCCATTTAGCTATTCCGTGATAAGGTGAATTGTACATCTCCAGTATTGGGCTCATTGGCAATCCTTGTTTGTGTAGTTTTGGTGGACTGTAGAGTCGTGGTATGTGTGTGTACCAACTGGTTTATTCTTTAGAAAGTGCTGGAGCTTATTATGTCCTCCTATTCCAGTTTTATAGCGGTTTTAGACAATCCTTTTTCGATGGCGTCTGTTCCGTCTCTTTCCCCATCATTTTTAGTCAACTTTGTGGTGTCTCGTAATAACAGTTCCATTTTGTTCACATAATCAGTCCGATCAACAAACGACAATCCCCGAGCCTTTATCTGGTCTCAGAAGAATAATATATTTGTTTCTCTGAAGTTTGATCAACCTTTCAAGATGTTCCTAAGAGAGCTGTCTTCTACGCTCAGTCGGATAAGTTAAGTATTGATAACTTGTCATGACCAGCTGTGTTTTCAACTTTTCTAAATTAGTATCCGGTGCATGCAACAGATCCGAAAGTTGATTGTAAAGATTGTGAAAGTTATAGAGTTAATAACACAGCGATGTCGGTAGAGAATTATATTCGCCGACGTTTCGGTTACCGTGGGTAACCTTTCTCAAGGCAGGTTTTTACAATCAAATGACTGATTGATTGTAAAGACTTTCAAATTGTAGCTCTAAATCCAATTACCTAATGTTTTGATTAGGACATCAAAACTTGGGTCCTAACGATGGAACTTCAATGGCTAACTTATCCAGACATAAAGAAGAGAAATTATTCACATACCGTTCTGGATCTCTGAGAGATTGTCCGTCTCTGACTCTAGTGGTGGCCAGCAAAGTTTTCTTTCGTTCTTTTGGTGCTATCTTGATTCGATCTCCTATACGTAAGTTAGGAAACCTGACACTTCGTCTCCTTGCAAATTGCTTAGTGATTCTACAGCAACTACACATTTCTTTTCCAAATCCCGTGTGAGATTCATCCACGTGTACTTTTCATTCAGCGCATGGCGACGTAACCATGGCTTAGACACTTCAGTATGATTCCGACGAAGGATATTCGGATATTCTGATTTAGCGATGCAAGCTTCCAGGAAACAAACGGAAGGGGTCACCTTCGCCAACTGCTTACGGAACTTGACATGCTGGTCGGGTTCTTTTAGTACGGGATGGTTCCTGGCTTGTCTGAGAAATTGAGTTATTGAATTATGTGATTTTGTGACCTTTAAAGGAATGCTGTATTTGGCTAGTAAATGAAGCACCAAAAATGGCCTTGTTTCCCAAAGTGACAGATACTTCTGTCATGCATGCTGCATACATGATGCTGCCTGATACCACATGCACGCACGCACGCATACACGCTATGCGAACGGACTCTCCATTACAATATCGATTGCCTTCAGTCAATCAGATGTTAGTATTGGACTTCGCGTGCTGATTGGTACGTTGAGTTTTTGAATGCCTACTTGACCGCATTCGGATGTCATGTGACGTTTGAGCCAGTTGTCAGCCTGTTTGCCCCCTGCCTATGTGGCTGCGTTACCCGCTTCTGTTTGTTCACCGGCCTGCGGACCGGCTATACGTGTGCCCTCTACGACAAATGCACTGCACAATTAAGTGCTTATTTACCTACTTAACCGGGACAGAACACCAAGCATGTGATAAATTCAAATCAATCAAAAATCCTCAACAAAAAACAAAACAAGCAGTGAGGCATGATAAAACCGAATACTGATTTTTTCGCACATTTTCTCCATAAAACGATGTAGAAACTTATGTATATATGTGTATATAGACGAAATTACGCGATTGTGGGTGCATGGTGATTTGAAGATCACGTAAAAAGTCTTTACAACGGCAGAAATGAGGTAGTTTGTTTTCGTGTCCGTTCGTAACACCTCAGATTGACAAACTTGTCCTACTGACCCAATCCAGTGAATCACTTTTGGCTGAGAATGGACAAGTTGTCTGACCACATGCGTCATGGGTGGTTGAGATCGTCAGATCAAGGACAAGAACACAGTGATATGAAGAAATCCAGGGCGAAGTTGCCGGGGAGGGTGGTGTAAGTTCAGATGGATGAATTGATGGATTGATCAATGGAGGTAGGTAGGGAGAGACGGAACACCAGCATTAACCAACGACGACGGTTAGGTCAAGTGATGAATGAGCAATGTACATGAAAGTCTCTCTCTCAAAATAAATGATAATAGATAAATGTTCCAAATGGATATAGGGATGACAATGATAGAAGGTTACTTGTTCTTCTCCAATCACGGTGAAATACAAAGGTATAGGGGAACAGAAGAAGTAGAGAGAGAGAGCAAGAGGAAAAGGAGCTGAATTTCAACAGGAATACTCCGGAATGGGGGATTAGAGTTCACAAGGGTGTAGGTGTGTGTGTGCGGGATAAAGGATGAGCGATGATTTTGTACAGAGCTCCCTTGGTGCACATTTATCATAATGGATCTCGTCGATGTAATTCTTCTATTGGTTCGATCGGAGCTACCGGAATCGATGAGGTGGTCCTGCAGCTCGTGGAGGCATGAATGAGAACGAGTCACGCGCTCGACGTGTTCTGCGACTATTCCCACAGAATAGCATACGCATTTGTTGTTCCGAGTCTAAATTTTTCAGTTCACTGGCAGTCAGTCCTAAAATGCTAGCTAACAAGTCTGTGTTCACCTCGTACAGAGCCAACACATCGACCAATTTCATTCGATGCGGATTCGATAAAAAACCACACGTAGGATTGCACTGCGGTATCAGATGATCAAATTCCGGTGGTTCGAGTGATTGTCCATTGGATAGTAATGGTCGAACACGTGATGTCTCATTAAACTGGTCCGGTTTGCACAGATAACCACCTCGATCTCCGTGACCTGAAACGAGGCCACAGGAGTCGATCACGTGATACAGATTGTAGTCATTGGCCGTGAAATAAGACGGTAAACGTGTGGCAGGCATGCGATTCAAATACCACGCATAAGAATGATAACTAGGATTAGCTTGTGTGAGCCGCGGTTGTTTGGTCATTGTTAGGGAAGTCGGACTAGATGTATAGTACGTGTCCACGGTATTTCGTGTTGCTCTTTGCCGAACTAATTGTTCCGGTGAATTGACCAATTTGTCTGACTCAGACTGAGTGATCTCGGAGATACGCGTGGTCAGGTGACGACGATGACGACGCTGGCCACGTTGATTTAACATGGACACTAGCCGGGAGAGAAATAATAGCGTGGAATTTTTGGTAAATCTCGCATTCATTGATTGGTCCAGATCGGCTGCTGGTTGTGTCATGTATTGATTCTGAAGGTGTAGTAAGGAATATGGATGTTGCATAGACCATAGGATCATTCGCTTTCGTGTCCATTCTCTAAAATCAAGGTGGGAGAAAAACGGTAATTACAGTCCTGAAATACGAACGTGAAAAGAGATAAACATGTTGCATCGAATCACATTATACAAATTGAGTCCCAAACTGTTACGATGTCTAGACCAAACCGATTTATTCAAGGAATTACCCAGATCTGTATCCAGATTGGTTGCCATTGGGGGGATTTCAAATGATCACACGAGGATTGTTCACCATATATCACGGATTCCCATACATCGATTACAACTGAAAGTCGCATGGCTGAATAGCAGTTTCTGTCTAAGTGATAATAAGCCTAGCAACTGGGAAGTAGGTGCAGCGTTTCCGTCTGTTTCACACCTGCCAAAGGGATTTTATACCCTGCATATCGGAATAGGGCAGATCGGCTCGGAGCATGTAAAACTAACTCATCGGTCCCGCCTAATCAAAATCGGCTATCCCAGTCTATATATTGCCTCAAAATCAGTTAGACGCGATAAATCAAAATGAAATCGAACCGGTCGTTTGATCAAGTGAATCCCATATAACAAGCAGCAGAACGATGAATCATACTCGTTTTCAAATACAGGTCAGGAGGTCAAACTGTGAAGTAAAGTTTTAGAACATGCCCTCCGGTGCTACACCAGGACAGTTTAGGTCAAAGGGTGAGCGACACTGATTCGCAAGAATATTTCGGTTCGTTTTACAATGTTCCACAATGTGTGCTATGCAACGGTCGTCTTTACGCAATGCGAAATCACATAATGTTTGAGTAAGCTCTGACTGATGCCATCAGAGCCAAGATAGTTAGCCTGTTTTCACAGAATATGTGACTGTGGATAAATCAGACACAGGACAGCTGATCACGAATTCGCGTACCGTGCGAGTGTATGGTTTCCGTCTGTCTCTAGGGTCTTGCAACATTGATTGGTCTACAGTTAGATGATCGGCGTTTAACCAACTGAGCGTATCCTCACGCAACTTACAATAACTACCTGTTTCCGCATGCGATGGAAATGTTTGTAACAACCGAAAAAGACCACTGGACACCTGTTGCGTCCTGTTTGGGACTCATCATCATCAAGAGTGCCTGGTGCCTCATGACAATCGAATGGGCTAATCCAAGCTTGCGACCGAGTTCTCTTGTGACCTCCATTGTCCCTTACTATCGGCTGACCTATGTTCTGTCCCTACCCTTGTTCTGTACCGGTTCACCGCTTATCATTTATCGACTTTAACCACCCACGCACATGTGACCTGTTTTGATGGCTCCTTGGGAGTCACCTGTTCATGTTCACACACAGACACACACACACACATGCATACGCGCACGCTTGTCGTTTGTTAAGAGGTCGAATTGTGAGCGCCCAACTCTCTTATGATTGGCTCATCTTTTGGGAGCTTCATGTCACTGCCTGATTGGACTTAATTGTTTGACTCCGTATAGTTTGATCATATTCTCTCTTTGACACAGCGGTGAGCTGTCCCCTTTTGAAGCACCTTGATTGTAAGGTGTATTTCGACAGCCGAGCGCTGTCATATTTGATGCACTTATATCTGGAACTGCCTTGACGATTGTCCCAACCCAGATACCTCATGAATCAAGGTTTGCATATTATTTATCATGTCAATAATTAATTCGCATTAATAGTACCGTATCACGAGACAGTCTTGGTTTTCATTGCATTGGAACCGGGACTTTGCGCGTCACTTGTTGTCAGGTTTAACACGGCAAGGCAGTCCTTCTAATTCCACAGAAAAGGAATTAACACGTGCTATTTGTAAATTGTATATAGTGTAAACCACGCTCTTTGTGTTTCCTGTGTTGTGGAAATGCATCCAGTTGTAACATGATCTGCTTGATTTCAAGTTTGGTCCCAGGCCAGGTGAAAGAAGACACATGTGTGGTTAGGAAACCATTACAGTTTCGAATAGATTGTTATTCATGATGAAACCACTGCGAACGGTTCGTTGGACTCCCGTTTAACCATCTACATCTGTCTCGTCCCAGGTTGATTCATGTCTCGTGTAAACCCACAGGAGACTGCAAATAATTTTGCCATAAACTGTTTTGCGTTGCGATTAGTCCTCTTATTGGCTTGTTTTCAACATGACTGAATCGACTACATTATCTGACTATTGATCCAATCATCGTAATTCACCTGCAAGTTGCAGGAGCTCATTTTTTCCCACTAAGAGCTTGTTTTTATGTGCGAATACTTGCCTCTTACACTAAACTAGGATCATCCTATCACGGGAATGATTGGCATTGCACGGATTACGATTCTAAGATGCATTTACTAACACCTCGTTTCAGTTCGACTTAATAGTGGTTAGCCCTGACACAGATCGTCCCATTCACTACAAAACTCCGGAAAATGTTAACGGACAAACAAACCAATCTATGATTGGACGTACCTGACCAATTGTCGATCCCATGCTTGCAAAGCATCCACGAGACCCACGGTCCCGATTGCTTTATGAACCCAGTTACTACAATCGAAAGGAGTCAAATAGAAACAAACATTTTTTACGAAAATGAACGAAAAAATTCTTATTTGAGTAGCTACAGGCAACTGTGACGTAAGTTATACATTTGGGGGAGGAATATCGAATCATGCATGCAAATCTTCTGTGGTCAAGAACAGTACACCACCGGTGCCTCAATAAGGATGAACGAAGCAATTGTACCTCAGCAACAAATAAAGCTGACAGTTGTGTTGGTATAGTGACAACCTGGACAATCGATTTTGACTGATCCTCTCCATGACTTTATTTTCAGGGACTAACCGTATTTTCGCCATCCAACTGTTCAACCGTACACTCGAATATTAATAGAATTGAATTCCACTCCCGTTCCAGTTATTACGTATAGTTTTTGATCGAATTTGTGTGTCTGGAGCCCGAATGTAGAAACATTATATATGTATATATCAGTTTCCGGTATCAAACTTTCAAAATCGATAGTTATTGGCTGCGTCTTTGTCATGGTGACGCCCATCTTTCCTAATTGGTCGATTGGCTTTCTTGGACCAATTGTAAACCGTTTTGAATCAGTTTCAAACTGGTTAGAACCGGTTCTGGGTCGGTTTTAACTGGGGCAATAAATTTATGGCGATAGTCACAACTGACCAATAGGATTGAAGGGCCGCAAACGGTCAATCAAAACCTTCGAACAGAACTATATAAGCGCGGCCACACTGAGGGCTGGCGCTTCCTCGAAGTTGCAATGATGATGTTGCCTATGCTATCTACGAAACGTCTGCGAACAACATTTCCAGCTCGAAGAACACACCACCAAAACATTAAGAAGTTCATTTTTTCAACATATAGTTGTTACTGTCACGTATCCAGTTCTCTACAGTGACGGTGACAAACATCAGTCGTAAGGTTACCGCCACATGCCGTGTTTCATAGCAGCTAAGGCAAACATCCCGAATAAACCGAATAGGTTACACTCCCGCTTTCATTTTAATTTTACAATTATTTGTGATGATTAGTGATAAAAATGTTACAAGAGCCTTTGATTTTGATTGGTCATTAGTTAGACTGGATTCTCACGTGGATGATCAGTACGCTTATGGTTATGTGGACGTAGCATCAGGTCCATTGACAGCGGAAGTTCAAACGCTCAGTATGATGTGTGATCTTCCGAACCATTTGGTGAAATTAATAACTTGGTGTTCTGGAGAATAAAGTGGCGAAGCGAACTGACTGTGTCCGTGGTGTGTGTGACTGATGAGGTGCCCCGTTCAGTGAATGTACCGTCTATAATTTGTAGTAATTGAATCAACGGGATGGACGTATAACGTGTAGCTGACACCTCACGGTCGACAAGCATAACTGCTTGCCAATCAATTAGATAACATCAGACGGTCACTACTTAATTCAATCGCATCTACAAAGGCCGACGGAGGGAAAGATATTAAGATGAATAGAAGGTTAGATATATAGATACTTGAATATTTGGATGAATAATCTGGGATGTTTTACGAAATTGATAAAATCACGCACTCACTTCTTGGTCAAGATTTCATGATCGATACAAGACGGTGCAAACACACCTCTAAAATGTAAATAAAATAAAACAGTAATAACGCTGAATGTTTTGCATTGGCTGTATGCCATTCTATGAATAAAAATGTATGGTTAAATAATTTGAAGTATGAGAACAGGGATTCTGGTGTATCATATGAAAGATAATCGTGATATATTCGGTGTATAATATATTGGATTCCCAGATATTAACTGTACGCAAATTTGTATGCTTGATAATAATCAGAATAATATTTATTTTCTATACACTCTCGGACACGAAACTCTGCCTCATGCTCCATCGAAGAAAGATCTGGGAGTAGTCATTCGCGCAGACTTGAGTTGCTCCACAAACTGCCCCACGGCATCTTCCATGGCGGTTAAACACGTTGAACTGCTCAAATGTGTTTTTGGATTGTTTAAGCCGGCTTTGTTTCCACGTCTGCTAGCCACGTATATTCGTCCATATACTTAGCACTCAATTCAAGCCTGGAACCCATGGCTGCAGCGAGATCTGAAGGCACTCGAACATCCACAGAGAATGGCTACCAAAATGGTCAATGGTATGCATTCCAAGACCTACGGAGAAAGATTACAGCTCCCGGGGGCTATACTCATCCCAATATCGTCGAATCAGAGGCGATATGATTTTACTCTATCGGATTTTCCAACAGCCCAACCATCCATGTAGATCTCTGTTGGTTTTATCGCACAACGTTTATCTCAGAGGGCATCCGCTGAAGTTGGCACACTAAAAGAGCCGTCTCGACTGCAGGCGTCACTCTTTTGCAGTCGGAGTGTGTAGCACTTGGAACTCTCTACCAGCTCACGTGGTCTGTGCGCCAACATTAGTATCTTTCAAGCGTCAGCTTGATGATGCTCTGGCAGACATTACGTTTCAACACCCAACTACATAACATATTCTCCTGTGCTCTTCAAAACATTACCCTTCATGATCTTGTGATCTTGTGAATCGTGTTCTGAACCAAAATGTAAACACCCTATGGGATTTGAAAAAGCGAAGTCTTTGTAAGTTATATCCCATAATAAAAATTTTAATTTGACAATAATAAAAGTAATATGAAGTGATTTTCCTATCAGTTGACTTTTGATTGACCATTTGTCAAAATCGCACCTCATCCGTTTTGCATTTATTTTTCTTCGTTTCAATACACGATGCAATTTTCCGGAAGGGGAAGTCGCTAATCGGGGCACCATCATACGAAATAGAATGAGCCAAATTAATCAATGCTGATGGGATTCGAACACACATCCTTCAGGACGATAAGCTGGTGATACCGATCACCGCCACCATTTGATCTAGAACAATATTCAGGGAACAGTTTGTCTGACTGAAATTCGAGTTGATCAGTGATCATAACGTGTGTCGAGTTTTCCGAGAAACTCACGTACTTGATATTTTGCAAGCTACGGGCCACTTCTTTACCCAATTTCTGAATATAGGCCCATTTTTCGTACGTCCCGCCCGTAAGCAAGGGCACTTTGGACATTTGCATTTGAGCTTCGTCAAACAGACTTTGAACTATGTACACCGGGGCTGAAATGTGACAATGAAAGGAGTGGGGCGAAGCGTGGGAGGGAAGGAGGGAGAGGGATTGAGGGGGAGGAGAGTTGCAAGAATGTGTCATGCAGTGTTTTCCTCGTTATTGCCTTTCAATAGTCGATTTTGTGCATTCTTTCGAATGTGTCATAGCAAAATTTGAAAGAAAGAACACAAGGAAATTTACTGTGTAATACACGATTACTGTCCAACAATCTATCTCTTCTCCTTGAGATGTCCACCTTCGAGGTAGGTACGGGAGGGCGAATTGCACCCAACTAGCTTCCCTCACTAAGGGTATGAAACTAGTCACTGACTGGTTCGACCGTGTATGTTCAATTGGCTGAGGCTTATGATGTATTTGACCGGAGATACCGGCCCCAAGTGGATCGCGAACTCCGAGCAGAATCCGATTGTTTTACGAATCACACGCTGGTTCTACTGGAGGCTGTTTTGTCTAATCGTTCTCCGATTCCTTCCTGGACGATTGAGCTACAAAACAACCCACAAGACTGAAAATAGCCTGGAAACTACCTCGAACCTTATATCGCCATGCTCAATACCTTGACCTTCTTCTTCGCTGTATGCGCTGTTGAGACCGTTTCTGTTTCAACCGGTTAGTCTAATGTACAATACAACATTTCTATAAACAGGTGGCTCATAACCAATACACTTTTCTGTCCTTTTTGCATTGACAAGGTTGGGTCTAGATCACGCCAATCAACTGTTTGACATTGTTCAGAAAGGAATAAGTGGGAATGGTTCTGATGAAAATGTCACCTACTGCGTCGGGAAATCTTCTCGGTTCAGTCCAATTTCAACAAAATGAAATTATAAATGACCTGACGATACCACTACTTGTGAGTAGTCATTTGTTTATGATCGGTATTCAAATGTTTAAACAGTCCCACGGAGCACATAGTGGGTCCACAAATTGGTAAACAGTGTGCATTAATCAGGCCCTTACAATACAATGTAAAAAGGGAAAGTGCTCAAATTATTCAACAGTTTATATCTTAATTGGTTCGCTATTCTCATTTGCTCCGATGTTTCATGACAGGTCACCTGACGGCAATCCAGCCATGGTAGTTTGATTCCTTGCACAGATTGTTTCTCAGCCCACAGAGGGGGTTTGTGAAGACGGATAGAAACTGCCTCTGCTCTGGCTCGAATGCGAAACCGCATGTGTCCATAGACCGTCCCGTTTTAACTCTCTACAGGGGTCGGAACGCTTTGGTCACGTTTACAATGTGATTAGTGTCGACAAGGTGCCACACGACCGTACTTGTGATTGTCTTAATTAATCCACTTCGCAACAATGCAGGGTGAGGCTCATGGATGCGCTCGAACAGACGCCTGGTCGTGCGGCCAACATACTTTACTCCACAGGAGCAAGTGAAAGAGTAAATATGGAAAGAGGCAGCAGAATCGGGCACTCTATCCTTCAATCGTAGATACACCAACGGACTGAATGAAAATCGAGTTTGGAGATTAGTCGCGTAGAGCGTTTTGTTGATGGCATTTGATAGTGTTATATGCGCAATATCTGCCAAGGTGTGGGCAGACTTCTTCTCAGCCATTAACCCCTTGGGAAATGCCTCTTGTCGTTGCATCACAGATTCCACCGAGCGTTCCGGATATTCATTCTGGGTGAGGAAATTCCGCACATTTTGTAGTTCTTAAACCAGCATGTCCCTCGTGCAAATTCTTCCAGCTTTATTGACCAAACAGGGTACGAGATTCTTTTTCACACTGAGTCATGCGAAGCTACGAAAATGAATTCCATCTTCATCTTTCACCTTCCTGTGTACTGACCGCCTGATGGACCTGTCATCACAGCGAGTTAAGCAAACATCTAAATATGCTAGTTGATTGTTTGCTTCATTTTCAATCGTGAATATCAAATTCCGATGCGCGGCATTGACATGATCTAGTATATGTTGGCAGTCCGTTGTAATGTTTGCACAGTACACATTTTTCGATACAAGTTTTAAGCGGACCGTTTTCTATTTTAGACATGAGAACATCGACAACCAAGGGACTCAGTGGGGACCCCATTACTACACCATCTTCCTGGCGATAGATTTTCTTCATTGAACTTGAGTTACACATTGTGAGTGCAGAAGATTAAAAATTGTTTGAAGTCATTTGTTGGTAGGCCTGCGTTAATGCTGTACAAAGATAATCAATTGTTTCGCCGACTGGAACATTCCTGAACAGATGTGTGACATCCAGCGAAAACATGTGGTGATCTTTGATGTTCAAGTAAATCGAGGCGGTAATGAGACCGGTTGTATCCTGAAGGCTTTGCTGAGTTAACTGTACTCTAACCGGTTCCAGAAGACGAGCTGGCCATTTGGCTACCGCATGGTAAGGAGAGTTGCACATGTCCAGGATTGGCTGGAAAGGAACTCCACTCTTACATACTTTGGGTAGCCCGTACAACCGTGGAATCGTATTGCCAGTTGGACAAACCCGTTCAAACCTGGTGGTGTTCATAGAGACCTTTTGTTTAAGTTTTCGCAATATGATAGAAAGGGTCTTGCCTATTCGGGGTGTTTTGTCAAAAATAATTCATGCAAGCATTCAAGCTCCAATGGCCGGATTGCTCACAAGTGACCTATCACGAAACAGCTGTTGTTATAAGAGTATGAATAAGGCACACGGAACAAGAGCTTTTTTGAAAATCTTTTTTCTGATTATGATCGGTATTCGTCCGAGCATTTGGGATAGGTCTGTTTGGCTGTTACAATCTAACCATCTGAAGTGAAAAGCCGTGAATTGTTTTATAACAATCTCAATTGTTTTGAATCTCATCACTAGTAGTTGCATTATATCTTATCTGTAAATTGTGCGCCCGATTGGCTGGCTGGTGGTCAAGTGAGTACTGTGTACTTGTATGTTACTTGTGAGTACCCAGATCAATGGATCTGACCTATATTAGGAATTTTCAAGGTTGAAACAACTGTACTGTGCTCTTCACAATACTTCCACGTCATATTTTGTTTTATCTATACAGACCATTGAATATAACCATGGAATTTCTCTCTACTGATGGGAACTGATCGATTGGTGAAAATATTACTAATATTATTAGTAGTAGTGTTCTTAGTTCACGAACAAACAAACAAACAGGTGTGGAAGGACGAGAGTGTAAAATCATCCATATGTTTCCAGTGCTAAAAATCGGTTTGGAAAAGAAATCAACTACTGCTTTTCAGGGTATTTTCCTGTACAACTTTTCATTTTTATATCTTGAAAAATTCACCAGTTATTTCAATTTCTGATTGAAAGACCTTACTTTTTAAATATTCGTACATGAATGGAGCCAGATAACATCTCCATCGTTCACCTTTTGGCTGTTGTTTACGGCAACGTTTTGGAATCCGCGCTTTCCAAAACCTGGAATTAAAATGAAACAATTTCAGATGTAAAGTTTGTAATGAAGTGAAGTGATAACCAATAGATTCTGGAGTAAAAGGACACGTTTTGGGTTGACATATACTGGGGTACGTGGTGTATATGTATGTGTTGGCCACTGCAAGCCAATTCATTGATTCATTACCGATCAAAAAAATGAAAGGTGAAATAAAGTACAGTGCAGCAATCAAAGTGCATTTAGAAACCACACCAAAAACGTACCGCATTCCTCGATGGATACCTTCCTCAGCGGGACACTCGAACACGTTGCTACATTTGGCCGGTCGATAGGCGGGCGTGTGGATAAACCAAGCGGAATCGACAATCCCACTCACCAAGACCGGATAGCCCAAACGTTTCACCAGTCGACGACTCAATCGATCGACATTCATTAGGACTCCAATTCCGCCAGCACTGAAAACCAAATGAAGTGCACAATCTGCTGATCAAAAGAAGTTGTCCACTTTGGGGAAAATGTGTCTAAAACATTTAGCTTGTTCTGTTTCCGTGTTTCTATTGTTTAGACTCTCTCTCTAACCGGGGTACTTGTGGCGAAACTTCATCTTGTCCGACTAAATCGATCCGATCATAGAATGAGGTGTAATGTCTCAAGACGGGAACCAGATTGGTCTTCCAGAGAATTGCATCCTGCGCCTCTTGAATGTCCGCGCAGTGAAGGGACATTTTCCCGCACCTCGAATCTGGGCAGTGGTGAGCAAGTGGTTAGGTCACCCACTTGTGACCTGGGAATCCGGGGTTCGGACCGCTCCACCACCGCCCGTCTTCCCAAGCGCAGCCTTTGTATGACCGCGGCCCTCCCTCCTGTCAGTTGACTGTACATTTGTATATTCAATAAACAGATAAAAAAAGAAATCAAAAACCAAAGACAGTTAAAAGGCAAAGACAAGACAATATCGGCCGAGTTGAGGGATCTAAGTTGAACGGTTCGTATTGTCTTCTCTCTTCTTTTCACTCAGCTTAGTTATTGCCACGATCATACTGTGCTACTTATCCAATCCGAACCACCGGTGCGTGTCTCTCTCTCTCTCCCTCTGTGTTTCTACCTCACACTATGTGAAATAATTCCTGTTTGAGTAGTCAGGAGAAAACAAAATAGCAAATAAGATCGATTTGGGTGCTACATGAACTGACTAAATACAAGGACAATTTATGATAGATTAAAACAGTCAATGTGCTTGAGGCTTTCCGTCAAGAGTTAGGTTATCCAAAGCGGTTAAGTTCGGAATTATGTCAACAGCCGAGGCGATTGCCATCCGTTTTCACACCTCCCCCTTTGTGCTCCCAGAAACAGTTTGTAAGAACATTGGTCTTACCACACCCGTCCCTCAACAATCTTATGACTTCAACTCTATTCATGATCAACCACTCATTCACTTACCTAGCCATTCACAACCGCCCTCTGTCTCTCATTTTCCACACACACATACACACACACAGAAATACAGACTCACAAACATCAGTTATCACAAGTTGATCATCCCTCTTTTAACTCTGACTTCCTTCGCAGATATTTGTCTCTTCTCTCTCCGCAATTGTTTGAAGCTGTATTTAGCCAGTTGATGTAGTACCGAAAATGAGCTTGTTTGCTATTTCGTGTACCTCAGTTTATCATAACAACTAAACCCTTTCCCATCAAGCTTTAGCCGAAACCCGCA